TCCCCTTGCCCCCAAGTTCACAACTCACTGGGGCGTTCTTCATTTTGAGAGGTGTGACATCCATCAAGGCTCTTCCCTTGGGTTTTCTTAAGGCATCCAGCAGCTCAGTTACTGGAGGCGGAGGTTTTCAGGTGCCTCCTACTCACCTTTCCCCCAAGGCGCACCACGTGGGATTTATCAGGATGTACCCGCCACAGGCAGTCCCCCCACATTAGCCAACCTTGGTAAATTATGCCCTTTGCCAGCTAAGCTTCTGCCTACCCTCCGAGACTTCTTTTCCCTTTCCTCCCACCTGGGTTCTTTCTTCCAGGTGGATTGTCGGGTTCCAGATCTCTCTCCATCTCCCTGAAGGTCTCGGAGCCTTCCCCAGATCTCCCACTGACGACTCAATGCCTTCTGGGCATCTTCTTCCCTCCAAAATTCCACTCTTCCTTGTCCAGTGGATTTCCTTCCAGGCCTCTTATAGATTTTTACATAGGCCACTTCCCCAATCTTTTCTTCAATGATCTTTCTTAGGGTCTTCCACGTGATCTGTCTGGGAATGCTACTCAGATATAATTGTAGTCTTCTCTCAGGCTCTGATCTCTTTCTGGCTGATCGTTCCCTCCTCTTCACCTCACATGCCTGGGCTCCATTTTCCTTTCTGAGCTGCAACACTCCCCTGTTCACGGAGCCTATCTTTGGCTCGTCTTGCCTTGGACGCAGGACTGTCTGTGTACAGCCCCGTCAATTGGGCATGGGGTCTCAGTCCTCGGGGAAGTCTTTTCATCCTTCCTTGTTGTCCCTATTTCCGCTAAGTCAGCCACCTCTGGCTGCCCTTGGCTAGGCGCTACCCTTCCTCCCTTGCCTTGCAATAGGGATAGTTCCCTCAACCGATGTTCTAGCTGGCTCATCTCTTGTGAGTGGCGATTCTGCCACTGGTCCCACCTCAGGTCCCAGTATTTTAGGATCGCAGACTGGGCCTCCCTTTGCGCAGCTTCCAATTTCTTGTCCATGGGACTCTCCTCCCTGATGTTCCTCCCCAACTGTCTGTGCTCAGCTTCCTCTTTAATACTCGCAGAACTCTTGACCCTAGGAAGCCCCTGACTCTCGGTATTGCATAAGTCTAGGCCAAGCGTTCTCGACTTGTGTGTCAGCTTGTTTCAGGGATTCTATAAGTGCCTCCCTCTTCTGGAATTCTAGCTTAGTGGCCCTCACATACCCTGCGAGTAGAGTCTCAAGAGCCTCCAGCTTTTCCCTTAGGGTGTCCGTGCTCTTTAGGGTCTGCAATTCCTGCTCTACTATTGCTTTCCCTTTTGGCCTCTCGACTTCCTTGAACTCCCAGAGTTCCAAGGCCATTTGGCTATTTATCTCTTGTAGCCTCTCATTATCAGCCCCCAGCCTCTGCATCTCTTCCCTCAGAGTTTGCATTTCCAACTGCAGCTGTCCCTTTTCTGCAGTGATGCCCGCCTCTCTGACCTGGCTATCTTTTAGGCGAGTCTTAAGCAACTGTGCCTGTTCTCTAAGGTGGTCTTTTCCTGCCTCCAGGTCCTGTACCTGAGCCCTTAACCCCTCATTTTCTTTTTTTCTGGTTCTCTAGCTCCCCTTCAAGGGACCAGTATTGATCACGTAGCACGTCATGCTTTATCATGAAAGCTTTTACCTTTTCCATCTCTTGCACTACAACCTTGTTATCTTTCTCAATTTGAGTGCAGTTTTCGTTCAGATTGTCCTGCAGCTGTTCAACCAAGTGTTCGGCCTCCAAACACCTCTCCTGCCACCTCTCTAGGTCCTCATGTAGACTTTCTATTTGGCCTACCTGACTGCAGACTTCCTTCTATAAAACTTCTGTTAGTCCTCTAGCCACTTCCAGCTTCTGCTGTTCCCCTGCTTGAGTTGACAGCCTGGATGGCACGATCGCCTGAGGGCTGCACATCTCCCTCTGCATCTTCTGCAGCTTCTCTTCCCTCTCCTGAGCCTCTTGAGAAATTAGTTTTTCCATTATTCGCATTTTTTCTGCCTCTGCAGCTACTAGACGCCTGGTTTCTTTCGCACTTCCCTCTTTCTTACCTGGTGATAATTGCCGCTCTAATGCTGCTGACCTTGCCTCGGCTCTCTCTTTCTGGGCTTTTGCTAGTCCTAACTCCCACTCCAATCGGGTCACCTTTTCTTTTATCTCTTCCCTTCTCAACTGCCCGACAAAGTTTTCCTGTCCCTGGCCTTTCGTCATTTCTTTTTGAGCCATGACTACCCTGACCGTGTCTTCTTGAGTTGGGGCCTCAGTCTTGCTCCCAAAATTCCAAGCAATGGGTATCCTCCCTCAGCTCCACCTAGCGAGCTGTGGTAAGACTGCCTTTCTATCCAGCCGTCCGTTTCTCTGTCCTAGCCCCAGGGTTCGTTTCCCCTTTCAGGGACATGGGGTCCTTGCCCGTGCACGGCCAGTTTCTCGGCCAATGCACCACTTGTCATGGGGCGGGGCCTAGGAGCGGCCGTGATATCTCCTAGCGCCCCCTACCATGCCAAGTTGGTATAAATGCACCCTCGTTCTCACCCGCCACGTCTTTGATGGTATTAGTGTTATGGGAAGCTGCCTTGTCAACCCCTTGGACACAGTACCCCTGATGTATCCTGGTCAGTGCCCCGTCTCAGCTGACCCTGTGCACTAAAGCCTTAAGGGCTACGCGTGGCTCCTACCACCCCTAATACCATGCCCCAAGCCTTGCAGATGTACCAGCTGTTGTCTAGGCAAATCCCTTGCCGCGCCCTCACGGCGGCCCCTTGCTTGCCTTGCTATAGCCCACGTCCTCACAGACGTCCTCTGGGCTTGTCTTAGTTGTCTGCACCCTCGCGGGTTCCCTGGCCTCTCTTGTGGCTGTTTAGCCTGCACTCTCTCACAAGCGCTCCCTGGTCTCTCTCTTCTCACCGATGCCCGCATTCCCTGCGGACGCTCTCTGGCCTCTCTTGCGGCCGTGCTCCACCGGGGCACTCTCATGATCCCGCCCACACTGGGGCCCTGCCTCACAAACAGGGCTCAGGTGGCTGTAGCCGTGCCTGGCCCCCAAAGCCCCTCCCTGGCACTTCTGTTCCTGTGTGCCCTCCCTGGGGCTCCTCTTGTGCTTGGGGCTCAGGTGGCCATAGCCATGCCTAGTCCCCAGTGCACTGTGCCCTGTCTTAGGGCTGGGGTCAATGCACCCCCTCCTCGGGTCTACAACCCCTGTGGGGCTCAGGCAGCCTCAACCTTACCTGTCCCCAATGCACTGTGCCCCTTTTCAGGGCTGGGGTCAGTGCACCTCTAAAATGCAATGCCCTCTCTGGCACTGGGGTCCCCACACCACTGTGGAGCCCCTATAAGGCCTCCTCCAACCCCTATTAGCCTCACCCAGTCCTCCAGTGTAACAACAAAGCAAAATCATAAGCCAATCAGCTACAACTCAAAACCAAGCCTCCTGGCTAAAACACAAATTCTAGCCCTCTGGCTAAACCTCACTCAAACCCCTACCAGGGGTTTCTCCTCCCAGTCTTCGTGAACTGAAGCTGTTCAGGCCACCAAGCTGCTCTAGACTACCTACTCTAGCAGCACTCCTTCTCCCTGAGATGTTAGTGAGGAACTACCTGCTTGGCCTCAGCCTAGGCTGTTTATATAGGCCAGGCCCTGCCCCCTTCCGGTCAGCTGACCATTGCGGTTGCCCCAGCAACCGGCACCTGTACCTTTTCCTAGTAGCAGGGCACTTCAGTGCCCTGTGACACACTTCCCCGCCTTAAGTTCATAGCTCACTAGGAGCAGGGCAGGGGAGCGTCCTGCGACACTGACATACAATTTAGCCAGACTATGTATGGACATAAAACTTCAGCGTGAAAAACTGCTTAAAAAATACAATATAGCTTAAAACTTTGCTTAGTTTTAGTAAATTTGGTGCTTTACTGATGTCGAACCTGAGAATTAAAAATCCTTCATACTTGGCCTTTTAATACTTGAAAGACAGTACACGCATCCCTTTTGCAAATGGTTTACCCTCCATCAGCAATGAAGACAGTGGCACCGCCTATTAGGCCACGCTTTCCGCTCAGGCAACGGGTAGGGGGGCAGGCGGGAGTGCCAGTGCCCTCCCTGCAAGCACCAGCCTGGGTGTGCAAGCTCTGAATGGTTTTGGGAGCAGTGTGGTCACTCACCAGTTAGTAAGTTTTGCCAGCGGGGGTCCCTGGGGTTGCTGACTGGTCGTTGGTAGGGCACGTGCCTCCCTGACTAAAGCAACACCAGTCAACCATGAATGAAGCGTTTGGATCTTTTTACAGACACTGCAAATGACCCCTCAAGTCCAGCTTTCCACAGCGTACATGACCACAGCTGTGAAACTTGCCTCGGTCTTTACTTGCAGGCAACAGAAACAGCGGTCTTACGTGACCACAAATGAGTGAATTCCCTAGCAAAAATCACCATGGGGCTCAGAGCTGGGGTTTCTCATGTTGGAGGCGGCTTTGATTTTTTTTTAAACCTTCAATATTCCCCACTAGCCAGACGCATTCAAAGTTTGCATCCCTGCCTGCCACAGCTCAGCCCCGAGCCAGCGGCCCCCAGTGTCGAGGCACTCGGGAAAATGCTGGCTCTTTGTTTTCACCCTTCTATTTTTTTGACCTCAGAAAAAAAAAACAACACAGGCAGGTTGCAAAGGCCTCCGAGGTGCTCCTGCCCGCACCCTGTGAATTCCCACCTGGAAACGCTGGGTGTGCAGAGGGTGGCACCCCTGAAAGGCCCTCAGGGCACCCCGGGGTGCCACAGCCCCTTGGCTGACAGAAACTGCTCCAAGCCCCCGCCCTGTTGCCTGCCCCTTGGGGGAAGGCTCCGAAGAGAGACCCCCTCTTCGCAGCCCAGCTCCCCCGGGCATAAGGCCCCTGACCCGACCCGCCTTTGTGCCCGGGGCTGGAGCGGCTCCTCCCGGGAAATCCCCGGCGGGGAAAGGCAGCGGCAATGGGCCGGCGGGGGCTCAGGCACCCGGCTCGCCCCCTCCCGGGCCCCACAGTACCTGGCAGCGGCCGGCCAGCCCGCGAGCCCGAGATCCCGGCGCTTCCCAGGCCCGGGCCATACGCAGCGAAAGCGAAAAACAGCTAGAGCCGAAAGATGCCGGAGGAGGAGCCAGGCGGCCCAGCTGCGCAGCCCCAGCCCTTCAGCTCCCGCCCCCGCGCTGCGGGCCGTGCTGCCCAAACAAGCGGGGGGTGGGGTTCTAGAGCTTTTGCGGAGTGCCCCAGGGCCTGAGGAGACAGGCTTGGACCTGCTTGGTCGCCAGGTGGACGGTAACGGTCCTCTCCGTGCCTCATTTTACCCTCGTGCAAACAACAGTAGTCAAAGTGGTCAAAATGTCCCACAACAGCAGTCCCCCTGTGCCTGAAGAAAGGCGGGGGGGTTGTGCCCTCAAGCTTGCAAAGACCTTTATTCCAACCAGAGCCAAGCCTAGGGGGATGCGGGGCCCCTTTAACCCTGGCTGGGGCCATGGGAACCCCGCAAAAGGGGGGTCTTCATGATTCTTCTGCAGCGCAGGCCTGAGCCGCCAGCTCCAGGTGGGCCCTGCAGAGGGGCTGTGTCTGCTCTGCCTGGCTCTGCAGGGCCCCCCCCCACAAAGCACAGGGCCCAGGGCAGTTGCCCCAATTCACCGTACCGTAAGGAAGGTCCTGATTCCAATGACTCAGTTGGTCTAATAAAAGAGATCACCCCTGCCCAAAAAACCTGGCCAGCCTGTGTCCTGAGACTGACAGGTTACAACCAACAGCCCTGCACAATTTTTGAGGCACCTAATTGATGTAGCATAAGCAAAACTCTCAGGGAGTCTTTGCCAACTTGTGGGTTTGCTGCTTTCTTATAACTATTTGCCTTGAGTTAAAGAAATGCTTCAACTTTGGTCCAGTTCTCTCTCTCTCACTCACTGGCGGCCTACAGTGAGCAATATAAAGTAACTAAGACAACTTATTTGCATGTTTTTCAGTGTACAGTAGTTTTTCAGCAAATACAATAACTATGAGCTTCCAATACGATAATTTCTTATTTAAGACCTAGCAACAGCATGCCTTGCTGACCCCGCCATCCTCGCTGCCCAGCCCCTCTGCCTAATACATACATGAGGTTTTAAAATTGGGTGCTGCTCAATTCCCAGAAGCTAGGGAGGGGGCCTTGGGTCCAAGGTGGAGGGGGGCTCAAGCCAATGAAGGGTGCCTAGGGTCCAGGGTGGGGGCCCTGGGTCCAAAAAGGTAGAGAACCACTGACAAACCCTCCTCAGCTACATCTTTCTTCTCCTCTGTGTGCAACCCCCTCCATAGCTACACCGCCCCAAGCAGCCCCCCATAGACCCCCTCACTGCCCACCCACAACCAGTCCTCCCTCAGAGCCCTCACAATCCTCTCCAACCACGGCTGTTGTCACATGCACACTTCCTTCCTCAGCTGTACACATCTGCAGGCACTTCTCCAAATGCACACCGTCTCCTCCTCCATTCCTATGAAAACATCCCTCACCACTTCCATGGCCTCAAGCCCAAACACCTTCTACTTCACTCTGCTCTTCACCCCCAAGCCCTTGCTCCTTGGTTATTACAGTCAGATACCCAACTGTGCTGTCCATACTCTCAGGTTATTTTTTTTGGAAACAAAGTGTAAGTACTAACAATAATAGTAGAGTATTGGCTTAGCCTGTAAGACAGCATCTTTGCTTATGACAAAGTATTGTTTCAATTTATTTCTCCACTTACTTCTTTCTCTTTGTTTGCAAAATATGCATACCTAAGATGTGTTTTTTTTTTCTCATGCCCAGGCTTGGTCTTCACACATTTTTGTACTGGTAATAATATACAAGTTACAAGGGTGCTTTTCTTTTCTTTTACTAAATTAATCTTACTGGTGCATCTGCTAATATGGATAAAGTTATATTAGAATAAAGGTACTTTATTCCTCTCTGTGGCAGCTTAGAGCAGAGATAAGAACCCAGGTGCAGGTTGGCAGGACAACTGGTTAATGAGGGAATTGGCTGCATCTGCACCTGGTCAGCTGGCCAGAGGAGGCAGGGCCCTCGGCCCATATAAACCCCAAGGCTGGGACTAGGCAGTCCTTTACCAGCAGCTGAAGGGGAAGGAGCCTCCAGGAGATGGAAGGGGCTAGCAATGTAGTAGCTATGCTACCCTTAGAACAATGGGGACACCAGGAGCCCATAAGGTATCCTTGCCTACTAGGCACTGAGCCTCAGAGAGGGAGTTTGCCTCTTTTAAAGGGGCAGAGCATGATGTGAGCTCTGCATTAAATTACAGCCCAGGGATTCATGGTGGTTGAGTGTGTGCTGTCTGACCACAACCAGTGGTTTGGGTGAGGCTAGTTGGGGAAGGAGGATGCCTCATAGGGGCCCCCTGCAGCATAGAGAGCCCAGTATCAGAGAGGGTGCAGAGACAATGCCTGTATCATCTGTGAGGCTTGGGGCATGCTGAAGGGGTGGTTAGAGCCACGCATATGGCCCATAAGGCTGGGAACCATCCACAGTGAAGCGGGATATCAAAGGGGGGTAGAAACAACAAGGTTAATAAGATCTAGCCCAGCCGTGCCCAAAACTAAAGCTTGAGGGTAGCCTCCCTATATTTCTTATACCAACAAGACCTGGCAGGTAAAAACAAGGGTGCTTGTAGAGTGAAAGACTGGCTCGGTTAAGGACCTGGGGGTAACATGGCCAACCCTAGGTACTCCATCCTGCTACACTGTATATGGAATTAGCTCTTGTGCTATAAGTATAAGCCTTCATACACTGGTATGACTGCTGTAGGCCTTGGATGTGGCTAGTACATACTGTACCACACCTAGACTTCTGATGGCCCTGGGTGAACTTGTAGTATTGGGGTGGGGGGAGGCCCTTTGCCAGAAATAATGATAATAATTTTAAAATTACCACTTTTGGGTCTCCTTTCTGTTCAGGCCCTGAGCAGCTGCCCAGTTCACCCATGCTTATGTCCGGCCCTGAGTACATGCATCTGGAGCTGGTTCAAAAGGAGTAGGGGAACACTTGCTCCAAAATGCATAGCAGCTGTTATGTTGTAAGTTAAGGGCAGCAAAGTTGAGAATGCTTTGCTACATTCCTGTCAGCTTCCATACTGTTTCATCCAATATTACACTTGGTACTCCTGGCTTGTCCACATGTAACATTACAAGATAATGGCTTCTCTGTGCTCCAAATCTATTTTGAAACATTCCCCCCTTTTGAAATGCAGGCAGTCCTCAAACACAATTAGTTCTTGAAAACCAGGTCTTAAATTGAAATGTTGTAACTCAGAACCAATTTTCTCATAAGAAACAACATAATAAATGGGGGATTGGTTCCTGAACCAAAGCCTGATACCCTATTTTCACTAAAAATATCCCAGAATTTTGTACTTGATCAATTATAGATTAATAATATAGCTACATTAATGTATTGTAAATAGCAATCATACTGATTTTGGAAGGACTTCTTTGAGGTGACTTTGCTGAACTTTTTGAAAGGCTCTTGGTTAGATTTCTTGAAGGGTTCTTGTCTGGAGTCTTCTCAGGAGTCTTACCTGCAGGTTTTTCTGAAGTCTTGTCTGCTTTCTTAAAGAAACTGTCTAAGGAACTTTGGACAGATTGGCACCATGCCGATTGACTTCCGTCAACCACCACCCTCTGGGTCTGATGATGGCATCAATTCCCCAGCCAAAGGATCGTGGTGAGGCCAAGGCTGCAGTTGGCCAGTTTTGCCAAGAGGTGATCATAGGATACCAGACTGAAGGCTTTTTTGAAGTCAAGGTATACAACTTTAATCTTGTCTCCCTTGTCCAGGTAAAGGGTCACCTGGTCGTAAAAGGAAATAAGATTGGTCAAGCAAGGCCTACCCACAACAAACCCGTGCTGGCTATCCCTCAGGATGCTACCATCAGCCAGTCTGTTAAGAATGACCTCTTTGATAATCTTTTCTAAGACCTTCCCTGGGATAGAGGTCAGGCTGATGGGCCTGTAGCTTGCTGGATCCACTTTTCTCCCCTTCTTGAAGACAGGCACCACATTGGCCTTCTTCCAGTCTTTGGGCACTTTACCAGAGCACCAGGTGTTCTCGAAGATCTGTGCCGGGGGCTGGGCTATGATGTTTGCCAACTCTTTGAGTACCCTGGGGTGTAAACTGTCAGGACCAACTGACTTGAAGGTGTCCAGCCTCTCAGGGTGTTCCTTCACAAGGTCAGCATTGAAGGAGGGTAAGGAATTTCCCTCTCCCAGGCTTTCCTGTTCTGTAATGAGCAGGGGCGCCCCTTGGGACTGGTGAAAAACTGATGCAAAGTACCCACTTAGCAAGTTGGATTTTTCCTGGGCATCAGCTGTCAGTTGTCCCATCTGGTTTAGCAGGGGGGACTTCCTGCCTTTTCTCACTCTCTACCCCACCTGACATCAAGACCTCTCCTGGGGCTCAGGCTGCTCTGTCCTTTGTCTGCTTCTTCCCCTCCTGAGCTATGGGCCCCTGATCCCAGTTCTTGCCCCTTGGGCTGTGGGCTCCCTGGCCCATTTATTCTCAGCTCCTTTAGGATATGGGCCTCTGGCCCTAGTTCTCACCTCTGTCAGGCTGTAGTCCTGCCATCTGGGCTATAGGCCCCTGGCCCTTGTTCTTGCCCCTATTGGGCACTTTGTCCTTCTTAGCCTGGGGGGTGGGGCGTGTTCCCTCACCACGGTGCTCACCCTGCTTGGGCACTGAGCCCCTGATTCTATCTCCACTTCTTCCACAATCTGAGCCCCACCCCCAGCTGGGCTCAAGGCAGTTATGTGCCCCTCAGGCACAGCTAGGACCTCTACCGTCCAGTAGTCCCAAACCTAAACCACCAGTTATAACTTTAACCAAATATAAGCCCCCTGGATACCATACAAGCTATCAGCCTACTGGCTGTATAACTAAGCTACCCTCATAAGCCTTTAATCCATTGTTTGTAGCCTTCATTGAAAACAGCTTCCAGTAAGTTTGAAGCTATGGTTTATTGAGTGCAGAGCTCCTTCCCCAGGTAGCTTGCACCCCTGGCCACTCTTGTAGAGATCCTTTTAGGGCTGAGCTCCTGCCCTGGCCACTGAGAGGGCCTAACTGGCCCCTAGCTCAAGCCCTGGGCCTTTATATTCCCTAAGCCCCACCCCTATAGGTCAGATGACTCTCCAGTCATTGCCCCCTGCAGGGATTGCTCATCAGGACCTACCATCTAGTTTACAAGGGAGTGTACACTTACTGCTATGGCTGCTTTCTTGTTACCCATCTAGGCTCTACCCTTTTGTCTCAAAGTGCCAGAGCTACCCCTGCACTAGGCCCTCCTATCCTTTGGCATCTAATTGCCTGCCTTCTTGCAGCCAGCTTGCTCTGAGCAATGTTCCTTCGACTGGCCGCAGCTATTCATCTTCTCCTTAATGCACAGCTCTGTGCATAGGGAATAGTACCTCTTTGTTGCCTACTCCTTTGCAGCTGACCTGTATTCTGCTGCCCGGCCTCTGTCTGCCACAGGTTTTTGCTTGGAGTAACAGGAAGGTTAGTCCCCCTGTTACAGTGTAAGTTTATAGTAATTATCTGAAGAAAACAATGCCAGAAAGCCTTTAACATAGAACATATTTCAGGAATGTTATTTCACTTATTTATACATAAATTTGGTGTTTTGTAATTTTAACAGACTGGCCAAACACATCCATTAAGGTAACTGCTACAAGTTATGAATATCAGTTTTAATACTTGTGTGGAATTTTAATACTTCTATAGAAAGGATAGAGTATTATTGTTGCTGTGCTGGTCAAGAAAGTATATGAGAGGCCAAGGATGTTTTGTGATATCTTTTATTGAATTAATTGTATATTGCAAAAATCCTTGCCTCATCGAAATTGTATACATTTAATAAAACAATATAGTATGACATACTGTGGCATAGTTCCCTTGGTACAGGTTAAGATTAAGTGCTGATAGCAACGTTTATCAATGCTACTTTGATGCATTTGCAACTTTTCAATTGAGGGATCCCTTGGGGGTGGGGAAGAACCACATCTATTTTTTGTTCAGTTTGTTATCAAGTTACTGTGAAATGGCAGGATATCCTTGTCATTTTACCACAGGTGGCTTTTCATATTAGACAAGTGATCATAGGGGCAAATCAAAAGTTTACACAGGATGAAATGAAAACACTGTCAGATAAAACCAGTCTTGTTTTTGGATTCACCATGTTGTGAATGTTCACAATGTTGGTTTGCTTCTTTTTTTTTCATAAGCAGCCATGCAATTACATTTTATGTCTGAAAAGTATCATACAAAATACATTTTAAGGATATAGTTAAGATATTTTAAAAAGAAAGGTATTGGAATAATTATGTGAACACAAGATGCAAGTGTTTAAACTGCCTGCTTGCCAGATATCCTTCTTGTTGGCATTTGATTAATTTAGGGATGTTTGACAAACATTTTTACACTTAATGAAGGATGAGGGTGTGTGAATGAAAGCACAATTTAGTGGTCTGTGAACTGGACTAAAAGTTAGGCATTCCTGTTTTCTGATTCCAGCTCTGACACTGATTGCTTCTTTGATTATATCTCTGAGCTACTTTGGTTCAGTTTCACCATCCATTTTTTTTTTTAACTATTTGGCTTGACAACACTAAAAACCACCTTTGAGCTGAGACAAAACTTGAAAAATTCTGTCTCAGAATGAAATTGATGAAAGCAGTTGGATATACAACCAGGGTGTTAGAATGGGGATTAGAACTGCCTTAATTATCGTGGATTATATTTGCATCTGCTGAAGTACAATAGGATCTTTCTCTTTCCTTGCTCTTCACCAAGTCTCAGTCACCATCTCTCTTGGTTATCACTAATAATGAATTCCTTTAAAGTTTAAAGGCCCCTCCTGCTCATTCTCTCTGATTTATTTATTCTTTTTTTTTTTTTTTTTTTTTTTTTTTTTTTTTTTTTTTTTTTTTTTTTTTTTTTTTGCTCTTCCATCATTTGCTACTTACTCCTTTTTGAGACCTCTCTCTTTATATTTCCAGGACTCTTTTCTGTTCTGGTTCTTGCTTCTTTGGTGTTATCTTAATTGAATCCTCTCCTTAATGTCCTCAGTCTCTGCTTGTGTTCTCCAAAGTTCTTCTTTTCCTTCTACATATTTTTACTTGGTGGCCTTATCTGTGCTTGTGACATAAATTTCCCACTCATCCTAAACTTCCTTTCCTATCTTGACCTTCTTCAGCCTGACAAAAGCTGTTTGTGCCTGAAAGCTTGCTAAGAAGAATTTTTCCAGCTATTGAGATCGGTAAATCTGACATCTTTTATTAGACCAAAGAACCTCATCTGCCTGTGCCCTTACATGGCTACAACCTACACCCATTTCCTATCTTGACTCATTTGACACTCACATTTCCTCCATTTTGTCTGATACTTTCATGTCTCTGCACTTCCTTAAACTAGCCCAGCAAAAAATACACTTATCTTTTTCTGAACCATCCACATTTTGTCTACCTCTTGTGAGAACTTTATGATCTTTCCACCATTTCAGTTAAACTTAGGGTTTGTTTTTCACTTCTTTTCTTTCTTCTTTTAATAGATTCTTGCTTACTGTTTTAATAATAAAGGCTATCCCACGTCATGCTTTTTAAAATGTATCTTATTTTTTCATATAGCAACAAGGACATGGGTTATCAAAAGTCCTTAAATTCAACATTTTCATAAATTACCATGTGTAACAGTCACATTGTAGCTCCCTTTGCCTCTTCCTACATCAGTTTACATTGGGACCTCCTTTGTGCTCTTTAGACTTGGCATGACATCACTCTGGTTTCAATGCTTACATATGTTGACTATTCTGGGCTGACACTAGAAGGTTCATGGCCCAGCTTGCCACGGGGCTCCAACCTCCTCACCCCCACTTCTAGCCTCTCTGGGTCCTGCCCCCTCATGGTGATCCCACTTGCCACAACTTGATATTATATGTTCATGGACAGGCTGTCCCAGGAGGCAAATGAGGGGTTTGGGGTGGGTCCCTGTCTGAACTCAGGCCCTTCTGGGCTTCGGCTCACTTTTACTTTGGCTGGGTCCTACAGCCTGGGGTCCACTGCACCAGGACCCTAGGCTCCTGGGCCCCAGCTCCAGCTCTCCCCTCTGCAGGCTCTGGGCCACTCAGCCCCTAGGTATGCCTCCTTTTGTGGGCACAGAATTTACACCCCCCTTGTAGCCAGATATGTTGTAATGGGGATGTGGCATGTCAGAGGACTGAGTATCTGGGCTACTGCCCATATGCAACACCCCAGGGCTCCAGCCCCCTAGAAGTACTATAAACTGGATGCCTCTGTTGCACCCTAGTGGTCTCCAGTCTGCCCCTTACAGCCATCTCAGTCCTCAGATTCAAATATAAATTGAAGTATGAGTGTCTGCTCTCAAACACCAAGCTTGACTAGCAAACTTCCTGAATAATTTTCACCTCAGGGTAACAAATACAGAAGGCGCAGAGCACTTGTCACTTGCAACATAGGGTCTCTTATGCCTTTCTGTAATACACAGCCCTTGCCTTGGCAGTCCTTGCCTGCAGGTCATCTGAACTGGCTCTCCCCTGGTACTCTGTCTCTGGTGACTCCTACCCACAGCCAGACTGCCTTTTCTGGGATAAAACTTTTCTTTTGACCCTCTCCCTGGGTCATCTGACCCTGTACTTCTGCCCTGCCTGCCAATCACTGCCTACACTCCAGCCTAAGTAACAAATAGGGTTCCTTTGTTTATATAACTATTTACAGAAAACAAGAGAAGATTAATATCAAATATAATACATATATGCATTACATAGGTTCAACAACACATTAAAACCCATAACCAAAATATTATCTATAAACCCAACACTAGTGAATAGTCCATACAACAAGTGATCCCACGTACAACAGCCCTATCAATATATGTCCATTCACAGATTATAGACTTTAACCCTCAGTTCCACTAGGAATTCAGTGGTCATGAGCCTGTCACAGCTTTAGTACTGAGTTGAAGGATCTTTCACTGGGGGTGTTGCTGGTTTGGTAGAAACTTTAAAGGTTTGGTAGACAATAATATCACTATTCTTGGATATTTTAATACCCAAGTAAGTTGTATGTCCCAATTGTCATTGAAATTGCCGTTTGCTAAATGTGTTCTTTGTGGTATAATTATTTAGTAACTCAGTTTTAGTCCATTTAGTTTTATAACCAGACAGATTGCTAGAATTGGGATTAATGATAAAAGGGTGGGCACTGATCTCTCAGTCTGTGGCAGAAGTATTAGTACAACATCTGCATACAACAGGATCTTCTGTTTACTGGGCACATCTACACAAGACACTTAATGAGAAGAAGACTAATTCAATTGTACATTAGCACGGCTGGCAGAAATTATGCTAATGCATAGTAGATTTAGTCTAGTCTAAAGCTCATTAATATCACTTAAAGTGTTTGTCTTCACTAATGCACATTAGTGCCAATTACGGCATGTTAAGTTCATACCTGTAATAACAGGTACTAAACTTAATGTCCATTAATGAACATGTAATATGCACCCACTGTTTCCTACCTTAAGGCCTTTTATATCACCCTTATTCCATATACCTGTAGCCAATGGTTCCAATGCTAAACTAGATAGGAGGGGGCAGTGGCAACCTTGTTGAGTCCCCATTTGCAAGGGAAGTGGTTCATATAATATATTATTGGTTACAACTCTTGAAGTAGGATTTGTTTATAACAGCTGTAACTGCCATAGGAATTCTTTACCAAATCCCATTGTTTGCTAAAGAGATACCTCCAAGAAATGCAACCAAAGGCCTTTTCTGCATCAAGTGCTAAAATAGCCAGACTATGGAATTGTGTAGTGCTGCTACTATATCAAATAGCCTGGGAATTTTTTTTTTTAACTAATCCTACTTGATTTGTATTAATTAACTTAAGGAGGACCTGTTCCAGTCTGTGAGTTTTTGGCTAGGATTTCAGTGTCTACTATACTTGCTAAAGAAATTGTTTTATAGTTAGAAGAATTCATAAAATTCTTGCCCGGTTTAGGAATTACAGAAATAATAGCTTCATGTCGTATGGTTGGTAGTGTACCTTGGTTTTTAGTATCATTTATATGATTTCAATAGTTGATGTAATGAGATATCACTGACCAGAGACTTATTATTGTTCATATCCTTTAAGGCCAAAGTTATTTCATCTAATGACAAAGAAGTCTCCAAAATTTCTCTCTCCAACTCTGAAATTTTGTTGTATGGGTATAAGGTTCAGGAACATATCTATTTCCTTGCTAGTAAAATTCAGATTCCTAGTCTACAAATTTAAAATAGTTGAGTGACGTGTTGGTTGACTTGTCTCTGTGTTGTGCATATTCCCTAGAAGGGGGAGGAATTTTTTTCCCTCCTGTTGCTGTGGTAGGATGACCGCCTTTTCAAAATAGAGAGGCGGGACGCGTGCCTGCCTCTCCCCCACTGCTGGCAGCATGGCTAGAGCAGGGCCAAGAGAGCACAGGCAGATGTAGGCTGCCTGCTGCAGGGTTGGGGCTCCCTGCCCTACTGCCTTTCCCCTGGGAGCCTTGTGCTCATCATGTGCCTCCTGCCTGCCCAGCAGCAGCAGGGGGCACAACTCCATGCTGCTGCTGCTGCCAGGTGGGCAGGAGCACACTGTCAGCATGGGTCTCCTGGGAGAAAGGCAGTAGGGTGGGGAGCCCCACCCCATGCACAAATCTGGGGAGGCATGTGCCCCCCTATAGTCCCCTCCTGCTCCCCCCTTGGGGGTGTGCATAGCAGCAGGGAGCTGCTCATGCCTGCTGGACAAGCCACCCATGGCTCCATCCCTCCATGCCTTGATCCCTGGCCTCATGCAGCGCCCCAGCTGGGCAGCATCCCCAGCCCCTGCCCCACTCCCTCCCTCGCCATGGGGGCCTTGATCTGCCCCCTAGCCATGCCTACCCTAAGTCCCCTCCTCCTGCCATAGACTTACCTTCAGGGAGCTGCTTTCCATGCTACTTGGCTGTATTCCCAGCCATGTGCATATGTGTAGGCACATTCATGCACGTGATGCCACTTGCATCCTGTTCCTAGCAGCTCCTTGCAGATTGGAACACTGCCAGCCTGCAAAGGGAAACCCGCTGTTTTCCGATCTCTGCATCACGCTGTGAATCCAGGACAAATGCTGTCCTGAAGTCACGCAGCCCAGGGATAGGACTTGATGATCCCAACTCCGAGACTGTCTCATCCAGTTATGGATGGCTGGTCACCGTTGTTGTCAGTGTCAGGATTTTTTTTCATGTTTCTCAGAAGTATTGGCTATTGGAAGCAGCCAAAGCTGCAGATTTTGACTGGGGTGTGCTGATGCTTATGCTAATTTTTAAAAAATCTAAAAGCTCCTGGCTAGAGGGGCTTGCCCTTGTGCTTAGGGTCAGACCAACTGAAACATTTGGGATCTGGAAGGGATTTTACCTCACAGTCAAATTGTCATGGACTGGGGGTGGTGGTTGCCTTTCTTTGAAGTGGGGGCATGGTCCTCATCCTTGGATCTCTGAGAGTATTCCAACAACTACTCTTGTTCTTGCAGGATACTTATTAATACCCAAATCCCCCTAGTTAGTCTGTGGCAAGTTAGAGTATTCTTGGCATTTTGTGTATTGTGCCTACTGGCTGTACTAGATCAGGGCTTTTCAACCTTTTTTAATAAGCGTGCCCCTGGGTGGATGTAGAGCGGGGTGGGGGGGCCTGGATGCAGAGTTGCAGCAGCGTGAGGTGGTGGATGGTGGCAGCACATGCAAGCTTCCCCTCCCCCATGTCCAACCAGCCAGGTGCTGCCTGTTCAGCCTGCAGAGGGGTGCCACTGCCCTCACCCCACCCTGGCCCTGCTCCTGGGTGGTAGCAGCATGGGGTGGTGGTGCTCCTTCCCCACCTGCCCACATGTACCCCCTAGGGCCTTCCCAAGTACCCCTGGTTGACAACCTCTGTACTTGATGATCGTTCACAAAGCTTTTAAGAATAGTTGAGACCAGTGGTGCTAAACTTCCAGCATGCAGGCCAGATGCAGCCTCTGGCACTCATCTAGTCCATGGGGCTCTCCACAAGGTCCAAAAATTTGGTGGTGGGGAACCAGTTGGTACCTCTTCCCTGTTGTCAAATTTCAGGACCCATGGGGAGCCCTGATCCCTGTGTACTGGATCCAGCACCCAATCTCAGGGTGCAGAGCAGGGCAGGAGTGATGCATGTCACCAGGACCCAATCCTGGCATGTGTGGGCAGCACTAGGGCCTAATCCCAGCATGTAGGGCCATAAGGGGGCAATATTGGGCTCCAGGGCCCAAGCCTGGAACACAGAGCTGAGAAGGGGCAGTGCTGGGCCCCAGGGGCCAATCCTGGTGCGTGGGGGCAGCTAAAGCACTGTGAAGGCTGATCTAGGTGGACAGCCCCAATCCTGGCATGCAGGATCTGATCTATCATGCTGACTGACCCTGCACCACTCATCTGGCCCATAGGACAACAAACTTGAGTACCACTGAGTGCTGGTTCTCAGGATGGTTTAGACAGAGATGACTGTCCACAGTTTACTGGTGTAGGATGATTTAGATGGGGATGTTCCTGCCTCAGGGCTATAGATGACCTCCTGAGGTCCCTTTTAGCTCAACTTTTCCATGATTCTATACATCAAAAGGCACAATGCATTTGAAGCTGGTTCAGGCACAAGAAAGAGTATACCCATATTAATATGCCTCTTTCTCTCATTTAAAGTGCCTTGTCACTGCGTCTAGGCCCCAGGCTAAGAAGCATACCCTGGCAGCTTGTTCCTCCTCAACACCAAATCCCAGAAATGTGGTAGTGGAGGTTCTTTAGAACAACCCGGAGTGCACACCAAGAAGCATGCTAGAGACAGAGAGCCTGAGAGCTGATGCACATTCAGGGATGCCCGATGGCAGCTGTCCTTTCTCACTTTTAGGATTTGGCATGAATGCCGTGGGGATGACAAGTTGTGGCCTGCCTCTTGGTGGCAATCTTATGCTTGGCACAGCAGTAGCATAGACTGTAACAGGCGGACATCCCAGGGGTGGTCTAAATGTTGGCCTACCCACTTGTCTTCGGGCAAACTGCCCACCTTCCTCTCCGGCCATGCCTTGATGTTATATGCTTACATGATGTTACCCAGGTGGAGGTTGCCCATTTATTTGCCCAATGCTAAGGGCATTACCCATGACTCCTACCGTCAATGATCACGGCCCATGCTTCACAGATGTTTCTCCCTCCAGTTGGCTCACACTGGGACTCAAGCTCCAGAGTCTCACTGGAACTCTTACTCCCCTCTGGAGCTCATGGTCCCAGTGCCATCATCCTAGGTTCTCTCTTTTTACACCCTTGGCCTTGCATTCTGGGCCTCCAAGTGCCGCATTCTGGGCCTCCAAGCCTGCCTCATGAGATCGGGGCTCTGAGCCCCACCTCCTTGCCTTCCCTGGGCTCTCCCCTTGTCCCTGGCCCCAGGAGCTTCCTTAATAGCTCCCCAAAGCTCAGGGTCCCATCCCCTTGGAGCTTCACTCTAGCTCCTATATACGGCCTCAGACCCCCACTGCAGAGTCTGGGTGCTGCCACAGGTCCCTCCACTGACCCTGGACCCTGCCTCAGTACTCTTAATGAGTCTGGGCTCCCTCCTGCTTTGATCTCACCCACCAGGGATGTGGGGCTGGGGTTAGAAGGCACTCCATACTCACCTTTTCACCGGGGCAGTAACTGACCTGGCATTTCTAGGGGACTGTCCTGCCCCAGATAGTCCTGCTAGGCCACCCGTCCCTGGCAGGGTGCAGTGTTTAGTCATACCCAGGACCATGGGGCCTCCTCCTTCCCCATAGCCCCAGCTCTTACCTCCAGCATGTTTCACGGAGCAGCTCAGCCAGATGTTGCTTCTTCAGCTTCAGCAACAAACTGTTGTTGGCTTTGCAGTTCAGGGCCCAACTCTTATGGAGCATAGCTGGGGGCTGCTCCCAATTAGGCAGCCTTGCCTTATTGGCATTGCAGCCAGCTGCGAGCTGCCCTGCTGCTGCTGCTCAGGCCCCTGCACCCTGTGCTCTGTTATTTAGACAAACCCTAAATCTCCATAATCGCACAGCCTTTGACATACTGACAAAATGATAAAAGATCCCTGGTTGTGATGTCAACAGCTTTTATTAGCACGTGAGCTAATAAAGAACTGTCTTTAAAGGGAATTTTAGGCACTGCTGACCTCTACATTATTGATTCGCATCTGGAGGAGTGGTATGAGCTACACAGTCTCTTACATAATGCAAATGAAATTTCCTGAAATCAGAGAGGCACGTTAGTTGTGTTGGAGGCATTCCATGCTATCTTTTAGGAAGGCAATGGAGTTAGCTGACATGTTAATCCTCTTTCCTCTACATTTGAATTGACTGTGAGAGGTTATCTACTATTCTAGGAGCATAAGCAGAAAGAATTAATCTCAGAGCTTGTGTTCTCAATTATGAATTACAGCAGGATGACTTATACTTGTTTTGTTGAACTTTCTTTTTCTAACAAGCTTAAAGCTTAATTATTGTAACTTTTGTGTATTCTAAAATGCCTATGGAAATCAATGGGAGTTTTGACTCTGTAAAGAACATGTGACTACCTGAGGTGAGAGTTTACACCTGACAAGATGCTAATACATGGAGAATTAGAAGAATTCTTCTGCAGACTTCATCTGAAAGCATTTCTACAACCATAGAAGTACAAGCAAAAACAACTGAGGAAAAAGAACAAGGGAAAACAAACTGAGAAAACAAACAGTAATAAAACACCAGACTGGACTCCCCCTAGTGG